AGATGAGATCTCTGCTCAAGTACATCCACTGTGGCCCCTGGCTATTCATGCTTGATACATGTGTCAGAGTAAACATGTTAAGGACACAATGTTGATGATATGTTCCTCTTAAGAGATCAGCTGCCTGGATGATGCTTCATCCTCAGGAAGAAGCCCTCAGTGAAATGATATGATGAGGTAAAAAGGCCCACGGTCTGCCAGGAGTGAAATCTTTATGATCTACTAACTCCTGTCTTAAACTATCTTTGGCTTGAACTGGTTCAGAATCATAAGCCAGAACCAGGTCAAGAGCAGGTAAAGGAGGGAATCTGGTCAGAGTGGGCTGTTGATGAGGTAAGTGGAGACTCCTTGAGGCAGATTAAGCAGAGTAGGTCATCAGAGCCCACACAAAGGTGCTTTGGAATGAGAGGGATCAAGAGTTACATACATATTCTTGGGCATTGTTCCCTCCTGGTATGATCTACTGATAAGGACCTGGGGACGGTGTGGCAGGCACAGAGCACATACAGCACACCATCCTTTCCCTGGAAGCCCTTTGCTCAGGGTTGATACACAGGTAAAGGAAACCCAGGGACATCAAAGTTCAGCATTGTAATATGGTTCTAGGACCTGTGTATTGCCAAGGTCCAAAATGTTTCTCAGGCCACACCAGAACATGATATGGTGGTTTTCTGGCTATGTGGTAACCCACTAAGAGACAAAAGCAGCATGAATGATAATTACATTGTCAAGGCCAGCTAATTCAACAGCAGATACAAATGAGTTACAAATATAGCTGTAGCCACACAGAGAAGGAAAACATCCAGAGTAGCTGTTCTGACTACTATTTGGAGATTGTGAACTGGAAGTCTTATGCATGCCATATGCTCACTCTTCTGTGTCCTCAGGCATTTATGACCCTCTCTGGTCACCATCCTTGGCATTTAGTAGATGTTTAAGTAGCACCATTTTCCCCACATGGTTACCTGTCATTTCTACCTGCTCCTCCCTTCCCTAGGTCTCAAACTCTGTTCTACACAATGTGGCAGATCTCACTCTGGTATCTGCCCTCCTCCCCCCATCTCCACCACCCTCTGGCAGGAGTCTTACTCTGGATCGGGAGTGGGAGAAGCAGGAACCCACAGAGTACTGTGGTTAGACAGGCAGGATGTCCGTCCAGCAGCATGGCTGGCTCACAGGACAGTTTCTGTCCCTCTATGCAGCACACTGCAACTCCCAACAGGCACAATTCAGTTAGATTTTGCCCAGCCTGGAGTATGGACCTGATTGGGAGTAGGCAGGGACATAGGAGAGGCTGGGCAAGGTTGTTCCTGCAGGAGAGTGGCTCTGACAAGGCAGAGGTCACAGGAAGTCGTCAGTCAGCATGCTGGACTTGAGCCCTTCCCCTCTCCTATTTTTCCTTTGCCCTCCTCCAGAGGCGCTGTGTGGCTTCTGCAGCTCTTGAGATACTAGGAACTGTCAAGAAGGTGAAGGTTGTACTGGAGAAATTCAGGGCTGGTCTGCAGAGAAGCAGGCTCAGAATCTGACAGATATATTGCATAATGCCCTCCACCTTCCATAGGGCAAAGGCAAGGACTCGAGCAGAGACAGGGAGCTACAACTGTGCTCATTTTGAAATTCCTCCTTGAACTCATTACTCATAGTTCACTAAGTCCATCTTCAAGATCCCTAATCCCTTAGAATCATGGTAAGAGAGTCTGCATGGTCTCCTTCCTGTTTAGAAATGCTGGTCCATTCAAACATACTTGTCACTTTGGCATTTCTTAAGGACCATTCCCCTATTCACCCTATTCCCATCTAGCCTGGTGGCTGAGATCAAGGGCAGTATTTATCCACTTGAAAAACAATTAAGGGAAACTTGCTGTTGTGACACTGTGAGGAAGCAGGGCTCTCTGGGCCTCTGGTAATCTGGGAGCCAGGTCTATAATCAGGAGTGTGGGAAACATGTAGAATTCTGCTAGGATGCAGTGAGATACCAGGAGCCAGGAGCTGCAGCCCAGCCTGACTTTCCAGAGGAAGTGGTGCCAGGCTCAAACTCACACGGTCTTTATGCCTGTGATAACCAGCTTTGATTCTTCTATCTGGTGCACAATCCATTTGAGAACCTACAGTCTGGTACCACAGGCTTTCCTTCTTGGTACCATTCCTGGAGGGCTCATTCCCCCCAGCATGACTTGGCTACAGAGTCTCTGACCTCCATTCCAGCCACAAGGTCTGATGCGTACTCAAAGTCTTCAATCTAATGAACTTTGGCCCAGGACATGGTTCCAGGCCCTCCCTGGAAAGTTTCTCTTATTAGACCCACAGTTTGGAGAATAGACAAAGAGATGGATCACTACCAGCACCGGTGTATTGCAGAGCATTCAGCCAAAACTTAAAGATTCACTCCTAGCATGGTGCCAGTGGCTCATACCTGTCATCCTAGCTACTAAGGAGGCTGAGATCTGAGGATCACAATTCAAAGCCAGCTTGGGTAGGAAAGTCCATGAGACTCTTATCTCCAATTAACCACCAGAGAACTGGAAGTGAAGCTATGGTTCAAGTGGTAGAGCACTAGCCTTAAGCTGAAGAGCTGAGGGACAGCGCCCAGGCCCAGAGCTCAAGCTCCATGACAAAGAAAGAAAGAAAGAAAGAAAGAAAGAAAGAAAGAAAGAAAGAAAGAAAGAAGGAAAGAAAGAGATTCACTCCTGCATATAAGATAGGGCTTTTTTAGTGAATGCTAGTGTAATTTTGTAGGGTCTGATAAAAAACTAACTAATGTGGTGCTTCTGCCCCTAGGTTCTCTGTCTCTGTCTTCTCGCTCTCTCTTTCTGTCTCTTTCTTTCTGTCTCTCTCTGTCTCTCTGTGTGTGTGTGTGTGTGTGTGTGTGTGTGTTATACTGGTCCTGGGGCCTGAACTCAGGGCCTGAAAGCTATCTCATAGCTTTTTCACTCAAGGCTGGTACTGCACTCCACTGGAGCTGCAGCTCCATTTCTAAGTTTCTGCTAGTTGACTTCAGATAGGAATTTCATGGACTGTGCTACCCAGGCTGGCTTCAAATTGCATTCCTTAGATCTCAGTGTCCGGAGTGTTAGGTACAGGTCACTAGTCCATGGCTCCGGAGTGTTAGGTACAGGTCACTAGCCCATGGCTCCACCCATGCATTTTGGTGGGGATTGATCATAAAGTAACTAATAGTGAGATATAGATATTATGCAAACTGGGTCACAGCTGAAGAAGGGAGAGAATGAAGCAGGGGTGATAGTTAAAAGTCCTGGTCTGCTGCCAGCCAAATGGGTTACAGCCAGACTAGGGGAGAAAGTGAGGCTGGAGGGTTTGTAAATCCAGGCACTGGTCTTGAATATCAGGATAAGGACATTTGGCTACTCAGAATTAAGAGCTCTCTCTGACCTTGATTCTCCTAATCTAATTCACACCAAGGCTGGGGAACTGAGAGTCTAGGTCCTTGAAGTTCAGGGTTGAGTAACAAGTTCCTTTATTTTCACTGACAATCACAATGCTTCTTCTAAATACTGTGGCTGTGGTTTACCACTGCAAGGCTGAAGTTGCCCATGTACCCTGTCACTTCCTGCACCATCATTCAGAGACCATGGCATCCACAATAGCCATGCTAATAGTAACAGCATGGAATGAAAGGGTTTTAGAAGCATTTCTGTATGTTCAAGGATGTTGATGAAAACTTCCATATACCTAGTGATCTGAACAAAGATGAGGAGACAGAGCCAGGATAGAAACAGAGAGAAAAGGAAAGAAAGGAAGAGCAAGGAACAGACTCAGATAGACAGGCAGACACAGACACAGAGATAGACACAGAGAAACAAATGAAGAAAGACAGAGAGGAAGCATCAGAGACACAAGCCAGTGGCTCATACCTGTAATCCTAGCTTCTCAGGAGGCTGAGATCTGGGGATCCTGATTCAAAGCCAGCCCAGGCAAGAAAGTTGATAAGACTTTTATCTCTAATTAAACCCAGAATAGAATCCAATAGAAATGAAAGCATGTGTCTGCACGATGTTAGGCTCAAAGTGTCCTAAAAACATGGTTAATAATAGCAAAGAATGTGTCACACTCAGATGTACATTCAGCTGTGCATGGATAAAAAATGGTGTGTGTAATCATAGAAGGCACTCCTCAATAAAAGAAAGGAAGTGCACTTGATTCTCAGGGCCTTAATTGTAGTGACTACAACCACAGATAATTAACTTAATATGATATGCTAGACTGGCCTATTATTTTTTCCAAATTATATATAAACTCTATAGCAACTAAAAACAATTGGGCCAGGCAGTAGTGGCTCTTGCCTATTGTCCTAGGAACTCAGGATACTGAGATCTGAAGATCAAGGTTCAAAGCCAGCCCAGGTAGAAAAGTTCGTGAGACCCTTATGTCCAATTAACTAGCAGAAAGCCAGAAGAAGAGGTTGGCTCAAGTGATAGAGATCCAGTATTGAGTAGAAAAAATCAAGTGAGAAGGAAAAGCCCTGAGTTCAAGTCCCAGTACTGGAATAAAAAACAGACCAACACAATCAGTTGTTTGCAAAAAGTTGAGTAAAAGGAAGTAATCAACTTTAAAGAATGAGAAGGAAGTTCTTGGGATGAAAGAAAAATTCTAACATATGATATGAGAGTTGAACATATGTATGTTCAGGTTTACCAAACTCTGCAGGTGAATGGGTGAAAATTGCATATACATTAATCCATAACAAAGTACCGTGTGTATGTGTGTGTGTGTGTGTGTGTGTGTGTGTGTGTGTGTTAGAGACATTTAGAAATTAAATTGGCTTAATTATTGGATAGTCAGAAATTAGAGAAAAATGGGGCTTACTGAAGGGTTAACATTTACCCCTCTGCTAGGGGTAAAAAACTCAGAACATCTTCTTGATTTGAACAGGCGCTAGGTACTTGGAGCAGACAAAGGTTGGGGAGACGAGATGAGCAAGAAAGGAAGGGACCCAGGCTCAGTGGGGGTATGGAGGACAGTAAGTACCACTGGAGTGATAGTTGCATTGCCATGGGGGAATTTATTGAGTGTGTCTAACAAGAGTGTGCTCAGGCAAGTTGGTCATGAACGTCATGCAGGCAGTTGTTCATAAGGATTGGCTAGTTGGGTGGCTGGCTGGATAAAGAGGGGATGAATGGCCAAGTGAACATTGGAGTCAATTCGCATTTCATGGTAAACATGTGGGTGCCTCATGTTGACCAAACCTGCACTCAAGCCCACACCTCCTGACATAGACCACTATGGCTGTAGGTGCTTCTCCTCAGCCCCTTTGAGCTCCTGGATCTTCTGGGGCAGGGTCTGGGTCCAGAACTTCAGCTTGGAGGCCTTCAGGGCCTGGCCCACGGCAGGATGGATGTCCAGCTGTAGGTACTGCTCATTCTGGTCAAACTTGGGCCAGTGGAGCAGATCCTCGCTATTGGGGTTCCTGTGGACAAACCCTCCCAGGAGGAGGGGTGAGGGTCATTCTGAGTCCTTGTGAGCCTGGACCAACCGCCTCATTAGAGTCATGCCAGGCAGCCCAAAAGATCAGGAGTGGAGGGAATGAGGGAAACTTTTCTGATATAGGAAAATAAGGCCCTCCCTCTAGTGTCTGTTCTATATGGCTCAGAGCCACCTCACAGAGGTGAGTACAGATGTTTCCACAAAACTGTGGTTCACCGTTCAGGTCTCTGGAGCAAGAGAGTGTGACTTGAACCTACCATGTACTCTCTGTGTGTGAGTGAGTCCTGGGATTTGAGGGGGAGCTGTCACGCAATTAAGGATCATGCGTGCTCATGAGGATCCCACAGGGGATCACTACGTGGACCCCATTCTGAGGAGGCAGGGTTAGGTGTATTATCTCACCCATTGCGGGCAAAGTTGGCCCAGTACTTCATCATCTTCCTGCTCAGTAGTTCTTCTTCCTCAGAAAAGTCAGCTGCACAGAGGAGAACAAGAGTCCATTTCTTGGCCAATTTCAGGGTGCCTACTGCTGCTTTCCACCCTCCATTGAACTGTAGTCTGATCCTCCATAGCAGGCCTGATGCTTTTCCTCTGCCCCACTCAGTATCAGGCAGTCCCATTAACAACCTTCCATTACTCATCCCAGCCTCTAGCTGGGACGAGCATATTCCTGGACCAGAGGATATTTCTACTTTCAGTTCCTGGGAATCATTTAGGGACACTCATAACTCCCAACCATCACTCTGCACCTATGTCTGACACATGATGTGGGGAGCACAGACTCCTTGGGAAAAGCCTTCAATGATAAACACCTGCAGCTTTTTGAATGGTAAGATTTTGCACACTTGATCTTGTCTTCTATCTGAGCTTCAGTTTCCTTCTTTCAACTATGATTAGAACCTACCTACAGGGATCCTAGTGTGGGCCATTCTAGGTTATGGAAAAGAAGAAGACTCACCGTTGCTGCCGTAAAAGGAGAACCCAAAGACAAAGGCAATCTCAGCACCGTGGTCAGCCTTCACATGTGGGGGCTTGAGGTCCTTGAAGAGGCTGTGAGGATGTTGGAACTCATAGAAGTAGACAGGGGCATGGGCACCTGGAGGTGTAGACAAAGTAGGACAGGTGACTTCTCAATTGGAGTTGTCCTTCCTCATCTTGGGTGATAAGATCACTATGTTGAGGCTGGCTGGAATCTGGACTGTGAAGTGAGAAGCCTCAGGCAGAAAGATGCTTTGCAAAGAACAAAGGTGCTCATCACAGTCAGTGTTCCATTCTCTGTCTTCTAGGATGAGCTTTGAAGCCAAGAATTGTGTGTTACTGCCATCTTCCTGGAGACCCCAATAGGAAAAGCTTTGGTTAAATCATGGCTTTCCTATCTGTATGGTCTTAGACTAGTAAGTGAAGGTCTAAGTTTCCTCTTCTGTAAAGTGCCAGTGATGCCTGTGTCTTACAGTAGCCATGAGAATTTACTGACATGAGGGACATCAAGTGCCTGGCACTGGGCCCTTGATAAAGACAAGGGTGGTGAATTGGACATCACAGAGCTGCACTGGGATGCACAGCTCTAAGCTGCCTGCTGTACAGTCAGGCCTCAACTTCCGATGTACTCACGCTGAAAATGTGCTGCTTGCAGTGCAGGTATCACGAATATGAAGTCTCCCATCATGTCTTGGAACTGGGCTTGGAGGGTCTGGGGGTCCTCGGTGTCCCCCATGTACTCTTCCATCAGCAGGTGAGCACACTCAGCAGGCAGGTTCTGTGCCAAGAGGATCAGAGAGAGTCAGGCTAGGCAGGCAGTGCAGTGGCAGGGAGGAGGCAGCGTCTGGGTGTGTGTGGGGGGGATGGCACCTGACTAGGAAATTAGTGTAGGGGGGAAAGATCATAGCTCTGGTGTAACCCTGCCACAAACATACAGATATTCCACCTTATATTCCTGGAGGTTACTATGTGAACATATTAATTGTGGTTCCCCATCCATTGGGACAGTGTCCAGATTCTTACCATGAGTCCTACTGTATTCTGCATAATAGCTGGTAAGGTTTGTCTATTTATTCCCTTTATGGTGTCAGCAAATCCCAAGATCTGAGTGGTGGGGAGACAATTTATGTTTGGAATGACCTGGTCAGTATGGTTTCATGCCTGTCCCACCCTGCACCCCCTTCCACTGACACACATAACAGAGGAGGTACCCAGCCTACCAATGAATTAGAAATAAGTCTCACCGTGGGGAGGAGCCAACCATACTCATCATTGTTGACACCAATGATGCTAGGGACAGGGTGGAAGTCAGCAGAGGCCAGCAGCTCCTTGGGGTGCCTGGGTAGGAAGGTCCCATCCACCACAACAGTAGCTCTCTTGAAGGACTGAGAAGGCATCGATGATCAAGAGTTGAGATCACATACCACATATTTTCTAGTGTCCATATGGTATTTTCATCCCAGCATTCTCCCCATACACATCCCAAGAGTTATAACACTTAGGTTAGCCTCTGTTAGGTTTCATTAGGATTACAAGAAGGGAATCACTGGTTCAGAGTATGAGGATTGAGTGACTCACACTCTGTCTTCCTTTCCCCCTCAGGGAGCAGTGGGCAGGTCCCCCTGTCTGAACCTCACCACACCATTCAGCCTGACCTTGGTAATAGCCAGCATGTCCTCTTCACTCTTGCCCCGCAGGCAGCGCACCAGGGCCTCTGAGTCCACCTGCTCACAGGCAGACAGGTTGGCCACCTGTAAAGCAATCAGGAAGGGGCTGCCTCATCATTCCAGGCAGAAGGATGGGTTTGCCCAGACCCAGATGGGTGCAGTGCTCTTAAATCTCCCAGGGTATGGAGTGTGGGGTTGCAGGAATGAAATTGTTCCCACTTCTCTGATGCTCAGAGGCCTCAGCCAGAGGGGCCATTCTCCCCTGCTTCCTTGCATAATTCTGTCAAGGATGCTGGAATTTGGCCACAGAACCTACACAGCTTCTGTGAGGCAGAGAGGTGTGGATTCTGACCCCTAACACTGCAGCAGTTCCCAGGGAGATATTTCCAAGGTGCTTCCTTGGTCCCTGTTGTTCCCACAAAACAGAGAACCAGAGGCTGTGAGAAAGAAGGGTGAAACTGGGTCTGGGCTGGATGGCTGAGGGCACTCACCTTAACAACCACCTCAGAGGAGTTGGAGATTAAGGCAGGTGTCTGGGCCACTCCACTCTGCATGATGGCCCCATGGAAGAGTCCTTGGGACATGGGGGACAGGACATGTAAGGATATGCTCGTACCACCTGCAGACTCGCCAAAAATGGTGACACGGTCGGGGTTGCCTCCGAAGTGGGCGATATTCTGTTGGACCCAGCGTAGGGCGGCCACTTGATCCAGGAAGCCCCAGTTTCCAGTGGCATGCTGGTCTTCAGTGCTGAGAAGTGGCAGAGACAAGGGTCACAGGACTGTCCTGGCTCTGCTTGGCCCTCATTGCCCATTTCAATCCCAGGCTCACCTGAAGAAGCCTAGGATTCCAAGGCGGTACTGGATGATGACCACCATCACATTCTCAGTGGCTGCCAGCCTGGATCCATCATATAAGGAAGCCATGCCCATAACCAGTCCACCACCATGGATCCACACCATCACCTGGCAAAGTCAAGACAGCTGCTATTGATTCTCATTCATCCCCAATTCTACCTCTGGCGTCCATTACACTGTCTATGGCTTTGGCTGTATGCAGATGCCAACATGGAAAGAACTCCTTCAGAACCTTCCTAACTTGGCCCTTGGTGAGGGTTCCAAGTTCAGTTACTATCCTTGAAGTCCATATCAGGAATCCAAGTTTGAATTAATAGCTCCTAGCTGGAGTATTGGTGCTCTTACTTTCTTACCCATCTAAAGTGGAAAGAAAAGGGGGGATTTTCCTGTCTTACTTTAATATGAGTCAAAAATGATCACATGCTAGCATTGGCACAATTGGCATCCTCGAGTTGGGTGATTTAAAAGTTCAGCATTGGGTTCCTCAGGTGGTCTTCTGGGCTCAAGTTGGCAGAGTAAGTTCTTGTTTGATGAAAGAACCAAGGTTTCTAACGTCTGGGAGCACTTAGGACTCTGTATCCCTCTGTACCAGTGGTGAGTGACCCTCTCTTTATAATTGGTTTTTGGAACCTGATAATGAAACTTCTCATTAGGTCCCACAATTCTTGAGACCCTAAGCTGTTCTTTCCACTACTAAGGGTCTTGCAGAAGAAATGTCCTCCCACCGAGGCCAGCCAAGTCCTGATACTCACAGGCAGGTTAGAGCCCTCCTGGGCACTGGCAGGTGAATAGATGTTCAGATAAAGGCAGTCTTCAGACATGGAGATGGCAGGTTTGGATAGCTTCAGAATCATTGTATTCATTGCATCAGATGTTTGAAGACACCTGGTTACAATAGTAGACAATTATTTCAGAATTTGTTTCATGGCCAAAAATCTTTGGGCAAGATTTATTCCCAGCCACAGTGAACTTCTGCTGCACTGGTGCCCTGTTTATTCTTTTCTCATGTCTTTCTCAACCACGTTGCAGGCCACATGCCTGTATTGGGTGAGACTCTCCATCTCAAGCTAGGATAGAGCTCTGACTGCCTGGAAGCCTTTACACTGTTGGGCACATTGGATTTCTCTCTTCCTAAGCCCTGGAAATCTTGACTCATAGAGTCTTCTAGAAGCATTGTCTGCAAGGGTAGACATTTATACCTTCTCTCTGTGCCAGTTAAAGCCTGGCCAGGGTTGCTGCCACTACACCAGTCTAGTATGAATGAATGAAGCTCAGATACACACAGGGTAGTGGGACGTTACTGAAATCCAAACCCACAACCCAAGAGAACCACATTCTGTCCTACATGACTCCAGTCGGAAGCACATAGACTTTTCTCTGCCAGTACCACCTGGCTCTTTGAGTAAGCACAGTGACTGTGGAGGTTGGCTTCTCCAAGGAGCCCCCACTGCTGCCTTCCTCAGGGAGCTGTAGCATCTGCTGCTGGACCAGGAGCTCTGTCAGGTCCATACAGCCCAGGTGAGCCTTTCCCAGGGATGCCTCCCCTGGTGGCAGAGAACAATTGGCATGATCCAAGTCATGGCACAAGTATATCTCTGTGCTTTGGCACCTGGTGCCTAGCACTGTTCATATGCAAAGTCAGAGCTATGAGCCTGGCAAGGCTGCTCCACACACTGAATCTCAGCAAATTCATTGGAAAAATGGACATGGGAAATGCTGCAATGCAAAGAAAATGGAGTGTGGGGTTTACATGGGAGAAACACTAAGCTTGGGCCAGGGTACCCATTACACCACAGAGATTCTCACCCCACAAAAGCTTACATGGCTGGGTAGGAGGTGGCATTCCTTATACCACTCCAGGGCTCAGGGGGCTCTGGAGGGGCAAACCGCAGTGGTCCTACAGGTGGCTTGGCAAAGGGAATTCCAAGGAAGGTGTGCACTCCCACATTGTCATTCACATGGATGAGGCTGCCCCGCACCTGCCCAGATTGTGTGGTTCTGATGGGGCTGGCTGGGTCCTGGCCTGTGGGTAGAGAGATGCACATGAGAGTTGGGTGTGTCCCCTCAGCGCCACTCACATTGTGGCTCCTGTTGGCTCTATGCCACCCATTGTTCAGCCAGGTAAGGTCCTCTGCTCTGCAGGTTCAATGGTTTTACATATTTTCTGCCGGCATGACTGTGCCCCTACACCACGGTTTTCACTGACCTGACCCAGGCCTTCCTACCAGACAGGCTTCCTGAGGTCCTTTGGGAGTTGATAGCATCATTAAGCCCTAGGAGCTTCCAGGTTGGGTCTTAAGTGATTGGAGAAGAAACATCCCTTTCCAGCAACCTAACAGGTTTTAGTAGGGACTAACAGGATTCTAAGAATTGGACTGAACATTTCCAATTCTCAAGGAACTTACACTGGAGGTGTTAAAAATGCCAAGAAGAGGGGCTGCAAGGAGGGAGTCACACAGTTCTGATTACTTTGTAAAAACCCTGGCTGGCCTGTGTTGGGGATTGAGGAGGGAAGAGGCCATTGGAGATCATCTTATGGTCCACATCAACCTGGTTTGTTCGATTGTGATAATTGTTTAAAGGGTTTCTGCATACACTGGGTATATTTCTCCTAACCTAAGACAGCGTACCCTTTTGTGTGTGCTCACATTTGATAGCTCCAAAATTCCTGCTCCTTCAGGTGTTTCGAGACATCCAGTCAGGCCCACAAGCTCTGGCTATTTTGTCATCAGTACCAATTCCACCTCTACTGGAATCTTCTCTCCTCCCCCCACTCCCCCAGTATCACTTTTAGGTCCCAGAAGTTCACTAATCTGACCTGTTGTATAAGAAAAGTAACTCTCCTGCCCCTAAGCACTCTCCAGGAGCTATTGTGAATCACAAAGTTTCATGTTTGAAACTATCATGGTTGAAGCCATGATAGCAACCACAAATAGACATCATAGACAGCAGTTTCCAAATATCTTCCAAAGTCCAAAGACATAGCAATGACCTTCATGTTATCTACGCAAGAGATTTTGGCTAGATGAGAACTCTGACCCTGGACCTCACAGTGCCCACTCATGCTTCATAGTTGTTACAGGAAAGGATAAACATTGCTCAAAGGTTCCTGTTAGAGACCAGCTACCTGCATGTTGCTTCAAGCCCCTCATGAAATGTTATGAGGAAGCTGAACCATGAAGTGGCAAAAAATGATCCTTAAGTTAGGAGATTTAAAGCCCTGGGTCTTCTGGATAGCAAGATTTGCACAACCAACTCCTCCTGTTATAAACCATTGTTATCTTGTACTCACTATCTTAGGATCACTAGCCAGATCCTGATCAAGAACAGGTAAGGGAAGGAATCTGGTAGGAGTGGGCCATGGGTGAGCTGAGGGGGAACTCCTTAGGTCAGATTAAATAGGAGAGCGTAGGGGAGTTCATCAGGGCCTGTCCCAGCTTGGTCTGGGGTGAGGGGAATCAAAGTTCGTAATACATTTCTGGATATAATTCTCTGTTGGCATGAATTATTGATAAGGACATGGGGACTGTGAAGCAGGCACAGGGAAGATCCTCTTTGCCCTGGAAGCTAAGCCAAGCCTTTGTCCAGAGTTGATACCTAGGTGATAGAAACCCAGGGGCATCTCATTTCAACTTGATGATGTCTGTCTAGGGAGTTGTAGATCTTCTAGGACTAGAAATCTATGCCAGGGCCTATTAGTTCATGCCAAGATGCTTCTCTGGTGATGAAGGGGACCCACTCAGAAACAGAGGATAGTGTGAATGACAATTACACGAGCAAACGCAGGAGCAGTTACAGCTACAGCTGCCACAACACACAGAGGAGGGGAATGTCTAGAATCCCTGACATTGCCTGACGTATGTCAGTGTACCTAAGACTCTTTCATATTGGGTTCACTCCTCTGTCTCCTCAGGTATCTATGAGCCCCTCTAAACTGTGGGCGTTTTGTGGATGCTTAAGGGAACAATTTTCCCACAATATAATTTGTCATCTTGACCTGCTCCTTCCTCCCTTCCTTTCCCAACCTCAAACTCTGCTCTACACAATGTGGCAGATCTTACCCAGGTCCCTGCCCGCGCCCCCCAAGCCCTCTGCAAGAGTCTTACCCTGGATCTGGAGTGGGAGAAGTAGGAGCCCACAGATTACTGTGGTCATCCAGGCAGGAATTCGGTCTAGCGGCATGGCTGGCTCACAGGACTGTTTCTGCGCATTTATGTGGCACACTGCAACTCACCCACAGGCAGAGCTCATCTAGACTTTGCCCAGACACCTGGGACTGGGGGAAGGGGACCTGGGAGTGGGTGCCAGGGAAAGTAGTTTCTATGGGAAAGTGGCACTGACAGGGCAGTGGTCACAGGGAGTCTGTGTGTGAGCCCTTTCCTTCTCCTACTTTCCTTTTGTCCTCTTCCAGAGGACCTGAAAGGCTTCTGCAGCCTTGAGATACTGGGAACTGTCACTGAGGTGAAGGTTGTAATGGAGAAATTTCGGGGCTGGTCTGCAAAGAAGCAGGCTCAGGATCCCACCCATGGACAATGGAGCATTTGAGCACTTGCAGACACAGGGAGCTATGACTTGTTCATTTGGAAATTCCTCCTTTGATTTCATTGTTCATAGATTACCAATTCCTCCTCAAGGTTCCTCATCCTTTAAAGTCATAGTCTGAGGGTCTGCATGGACCCCTTCCTATTTACCAATGGCTGTCCATTCAAACATACTTGTCACTGTGGCATTTAAGGACCTATTCCTAAATTCAGCTTTTCCCCCATCTGTGGCTATCCTGACGTGTCAGATCAAGGGCAGTCATTTACCCACTTGAAAAACATTTAAGGGAAACTAGCTGGTTGCAACACTGTGAGGAGGCAGGGCTCTCTGGGCCTCTGGTAATCTGGGAGTCAGGTCAGTAATCGGGAGTTTGTGAAACACATAGAATCCTGCTAAGATGAAGTGAAAGAGCAGGGGCCAGGAGCTGCAGCCCAGCCTGACTTCCCCGAGGATGTGGTGCCAGGCTCAGACTTACATGGTCTTGACTGCCTGTGAGAACTAGCTTTAAGTCTTCTATCTGGTACACAGTACTGTCGAGAACCTACAGCCTGGCACCACAGGCTTTTCTTTTGGTGCCATTCCTGCATTCCCCTTGCATGACATGGCTAAAGATTCTACAACCTTCTCCATTCCTGTCATGAGGTCTGCTGTGTACTTAAGGTCTCCAGTCTAAGGAACTTGGCCCAGGACATGGTCCCAGGTCCTTCTTGGGCAATTTCTCTTCTTAGATTCACAAACAGAGATGGGTCATCATCAGCACAGGTTTATTGCAGAGCCTTCAGCCAAAGCTTAATGATTCACTCCTGCTTACAGGCTAGGGTTTTGTGGTGGGTTCATGGGAATGCTAGTGCAATGCTGTAGGGGCTGATAACAAAGTAACTAATGTGGTGCTTCTGCCCCTGGATTCTGTGTGTGTGTGTGTGTGTGTTGGTAGTAGGGCCTGAATTCAGGGCTATCCCTTAGCTTTTTCACTCAAGGCTAGTGTTGAAGCTCCATTGCTGGCATTCTTCCTGCTTAACAGAAGATAAGAATCTCGTCGACTTTCCTATCCAGGCTGGTTTCAAACTGCAATCCTCAGATCTTGGTCTCTTGAGAGTTAGGTTCAGGCCACCAGCACATGGCTTAACCCACGCATTCAGATGGAGGTTGACCAGAAAGTAACTAATAGTGAGATACAGATATTATGCAAACTGGGCACAGCTGAAGAACGGAGGGAATGAAACAGAGGTGATAGTTCAATGTCCTGTTCTGATGCCAGCCAAATGGGATACAGCTGGACAAGGGGCGAAGGTGAGGCTGGAGTGTTTGTAAATCCGGGCACTGGTCTGGAACCTCAGGATAAGGACATTTGGCTACTCAGAATTAAGAGCTCTTTTTGAGCCTCATTCCCTAATCTAATTAGCAGTTGGGCTGGAGGGCTCAGAAGCTAGGTCCTTGAAATTCAGGGGTGAGTAACAAGAAGATCACCATACTTCTTCTTAATACTGTGGCTGTGGTTTACCACTGCAAGGCTGAAGGTGCCCATGTGTCCCATCACTTCCTGCACCACCATTCAGAGACCCTGGCATCCACAGTAACCAGGCTAATAATAAAAACATGGAATGAAAGGGTTTTATAAGCATTTCTGTGTGTTTGAGGATGTTGATGAAAACTTACATATACTTAGTGATCCGGACAAAGATGAAGAGACAGAGCCAGAATAGAAACAGAGAGAAAGAGGAAGGGGAAGAGGAGAGAAAGAAAGAGTGAGAGAGGCAGACTCAGACAGATAGACAGACAGACACAGACACAGTGAGACAAAGAGGGACAGAGAGAAAGCATCAGAGAAACAAGCCAGGTGACTGTGTCTCCCACCTGTAAGCCTAGCTTCTCAGGAAGCAGAGAAAGAGGGCCTGGGTTTGAAGGCAGCCAGGGAGGAAATTCAGTGGCACTTTTATCTCCAACTAAGCAACAAAAATCCCAGAATAGAATCCAATAGAAATGAAAGCATGTGTTTACATAAAGTTAGGTTCAAAGTGTCCTAAAACATGGTTAATAATAACAAAAAATGGTCACACTCAGATGTACATCCAGCTGTGTGTGGATAAAAAATGGTGTATGTGTTCATAGAAGGTACTCCTCAATAAAAGAAAGGACGTACACTTGATTCTCAGGGCTTTAATTGTAGTGATCACACTATAGATAATTCACTTAATATGATATGCTAGATTGGGCCATTATTTTTCCAATTATATAAAACTCTATAGCAACTAAAAACAATTGGGCCAGGAAGTAGTGGCTCTTGCCTAGCAATTCAGGATGTTGAGATCTGAAGATCAAGGTTCAAAGCCAGCACAGGTAGAAAAGTTTGTGAGACCCTTATATCCAGTTAACCAGCAGAGAGCCAGAAGTGGAGTTTGCCTCAACTGACAGAGATCCAGCATTGAATAGAAAAAGCCAAGTGAGAAGGCAAAGCCCTGAGTTCAAGTCCCAGTGCTGGAATAAAAAACAAGCAAACACAATCAGGTAGTTGCAAAAAGCTGAGTAAAATGAAGTAATTAACTGTAATGAGTGTGAATGGATTTCTTTGGATGAAAGAAATATTTTAGCATGTTATGGGAATGGATGTGGGTAAATTTAATTGCATATAAATTAATCCATAACAAAGCTCCTTGGACAGTTGTGTGCATGTGTGTGTATGTTTGTCTTAGAGACACTTAGAAATTAAATTGTTGGCTACTTAGAAGTTAAAAAAATAAGGATTGCTGAAGGGACAACATGGGAATTTGACCCATGTAGGGGTAACGGGTACAGCGCATCTTCATTTGAAGAGGTGCTGGTGGCTTGGAGCAGACAGAAATGGGGGAGACGAGATGAGCAAGAAAGGAAGGGCCCAGGCTCAGTAAGCACCACTGGAGTGATAGTTTCATTGCCATGGGGGAATTTATTGAGTGTGTCTAATAAGAAAGTGTTCAGGCAAGTTGGTCATGAACATCATGCAGGCAGTTGTTCATAAGGATTGGCTGGTTGGGTGGCTGGCTGCATAAACAGGGAATGAATGGCTAAGTGAATGTTGTGGTCAATTCCTATTTGGTGGTAAATGGGTGGGCACCTCCTGCTGACCCTACCTGCACTCGAGCCTACTTCTCCTGACAAAGACCACTGCAGCTCTACTTGCTTCTCCCCACCCCTACCCTGGATCTTTTGGGGCAGGGTCTTGGTCTAGGCCTTCAGGGCCTGGCCCATGGCAGGATGGATGTCCAGCTGTAGGTCAAACATGGGTCAGTGGAGCAGATCCTCACTGTCGGGGTTCCTGTGGACACACGCTCCCAGGAGGCAGGGTGTGTGTGGGGGAATGAGGGTCATTCTGAGTCCCTGTGAGCCTGGACCCAATCACCTCATCAGAGTCATGCCAGGCAGCCCAAAAGATCAGGAGTGGGGAGAATGAGGAAAACTTTTCTGATATAGAAAATTAAGGCCCTAGCCGGGCGCTGGTGGCTCACGCCTGTAATCCTAGCTACTCAGGAGGCTGAGATCTGAGGATTGCAGTTCAAAGCCAGCCCGGGCAGGAGACACCGTGAGACTCCTATCTCCAATAAACCGCCAGAAAACCGGAAGTGGCGCTGTAGCTCAAGTGGTAGAGCGCTCGCCTTGAGCTGAAGAGCTGAGGGACAGCACCCAGGCCCAGAGTTCAAGCCCCACGACTGACAAAAAAAAAAAAAAAAAGAAAATTAAGGCCCTCCCTCTAGTGTCTGTTCTACAAGGCTAAAAGCCTCCTCCCAGAGGTGAGTGTTGATGTTTCCACAAAACTGCTCCACCTCTCAGATCTCTGGGGGAAGAGAGAGTGACTTGCACCTACAATGACCTGTCCCTGTGTAAATGAGTTCTGGGGTTTGAGGGAGAGCTATCATATAACTAAGATCATGCATGCTCATGAGGATGCCACAAGGGAATCACTAGGTGGACTCCACTCGTGGGAGGCAGGGTTAGGTGTATTATCTCACTCATTCTGGGCAAAGTTGGCCCAGTACTTCATTTTCCTCCTCAGTAGCTCCTCAGAAAAATCAGCTGCACAGAGAAGAACAAGGGTCCACTTCTTGGCCAATTTCAGGGTGCCTACATCTGCTCTATACCCTCCATTCAACTGTAGTCTGGTCTTCCATACCAGGCCTGATCCTTTTCTCCTGTACCACCCAGGATGAGACACTCTCATTGTACAACCTTCCATTACTCATCCCAGCCTCTTGCTGAATGCACCAGTATGTATTCCTGGACTAGAGGACTTTTCCATCCTCAGTCCCTGGAGTTAACTTAGGACCTTCATAACTTTAAATCCTCCACTCTGTACCCATGTCTGACACGTCATTGCAGGTGGGGACAGATGTTGGGAGCACAGGCTGCTTGGGAAAAGGCTTGGAATGTAAACACCTGCAGCTTTTTGAGTGGTAAGATTTTTCACACTTGATCTTGTTCTCTCTTTGAGCTCCAGTGTCCTATGTAGACCATGAGGAGAATCTACCTACAGGGATCCTAGTGTGGCCCATTCTAGGTTACAGAAATGAAGAAGACTCATGGTTGCTGCCATACAAGGAAGACCTGAAGACATAGTCAACCTCATCAGCATGGCCAGCCCTCACATGCAGGGGCTTGAGGTCCTTGAAGAGGCCGTGAGGATGTTGGAACTCAAAGAAGTAGACAGGGACATGGGAACCTGGGGGTTTAGACAAAGTAGGACAGGTGACCTCTCGATTGGAGTTGTCCTTCCTCAAGTTGGGTGATAAGATCACTATGTTGAATCTGGCTGGAACCTGGACTGTGAAGTGAGAAGCCTCAGACATGAAGAGGCCTTGCAAAGAATGAAGGTGGTCATCAAGTCATCCTCTGACTTCTAGGATGAGCTTTGAGGCCAAGAATTGCATGTGACTGCCATCTTCCTGGTGACCCCAATGGGAAAAGCTTTCGTTAAATCAAGGCTTGGATTTCCCAGCTATGTGGTCTTTTACTAGTCACTGACTATCTAAGCTTCCACTTCTTTAAGGTGCCAATGATGCCTGTGTCTTACAGTAGCCTTGAAGACTTACTGACCTGTATGACATCAAGTGCCTGGTACTGGGGTCTTGAGAGAGACAAGAGTGGGGACTTGGACATCACAGAATTGCCCTGGGATGCAAGGTTCTAAGCTGCCTTTTGATTAGTCAGATCTCAGCTACAGATGTACTCACACTGGAAATGTGCTACTTGCAGTGCAGGCATCACAAACATAAAGTCCCTCATCATGTCTTGAAGCTGGGTTTGGAGGGTCTGGGGGTCCTCGGTGTCCCCCATGTACTGTTCTATCAGCAGGTGAGCACACTCGGCACAAGTTCTATGCCAAGAGGATCAGAGAGAGAGTCAGGCTAGGCAGGCAATGCAGTGACAGGGAGGGGGCAGCCTCTGAGTGGGGGGATGGGACTTGGGATGGGACATAGTATAAGGGTGAAAGAGCCAAGCTCTAGTGTAACCCTGCCACAAACACACATATTCCACGCTGTATTCCTGAAGGTTACTGTGTGAAGAAATATCTTGGGGTTACCCATCCGTTGGGGCAGGTGTCCAGATCCTTACCATGAGTCCTACATGTTCTGTATAACAACTGGCAAGTTCTTTCTATTTATTCCCTTTATGGTGCAAGAAGTCCCCATATCTGAGTGATGGGGAGACAGTTTAAATTTGGAATGTCCTGGTCATGAAGGCATCATGTCCTGTTCCACCATGCACCCCTTACCACTCACCCACATAACAGATGAGCTCCCCAGAATACTAATGAGTTAGAAGTAAGTCTCACCATGGGAATGATCCAGCCATTCTCATCAGTGATGCTAGGGCCAGGGTGGAAGTCAGCAGAGGACAGCAGCTTGTTTGGATCCCTGGGTAGGAGGACCTTATCTACCCCTCCAGGGATGACCTTAAGAGTCTGAGGAGGCATCCATGAACAGGATTTGGGATCACATATCACATATTTTCTCTTGTCCTTATGTTACTTGCATCCCATTCCAGTTCTTCCCAGAATTGTCTCCCATACACATCCAAAGACATCCAACACTTGGGTTAGCCTCCCTTACTCTTCATTTTCTATCCAGGACTACAAGAACAGTCAATGGTTCAGAGTATTAGGACTAGGCCATTCACATCTTGTCTTCTTTTTTCCCTCAGGGAGCAGTGGGCAGATTTCCACCCTCCTTCCATTCAGCCTGACCTTGGTAATAGCCAGCATTTCCTCTTCACTCTTGGCCCGCAGGCAGTGAACCAGGGCCTGAGTTCATCTTCACACAGGCAGACAGGTTGGCCACCATCTGGGAAGCAACCAGGCAGGGGATGCCTCACCCTTTGAAGTAGCCAGAGAGGTTTGCCCAGATGCAGATTCACGACACCGAGGTGTCAAAAATGCCAAGAAGAAATAGTGTGGCAAGGAAAGTCACACAGCTCTGATCAGATCAGTGTGAATGACAATTACATTAGATTCAGTAGCAGTTACAGCTACAGCTGCAGCAACACACAGAAGAGGGAAATGTTCAGAATCCCTGACTCCATCCAGAACATGTCAGTGCACCCTAGATGCTTTCATATGGGCCTCAATCCTCTGTGTCCTCAGGTATCTCTGACCCTTGCTGAGCTATATGATCACCACCATGGGCATTTTGTAGCACAATGTTCACACTATCATTGGTCATCTCTACCTGCCCCTTTCTCCTTCCCTTCCCCAAGCTCAAACTCTGCTCTGCACAATGTGGCAGACCTTACCCTGTTGCCTTCTCTTCCACAGGCCCCCGGCAAAGTCTCACGCCGGATCTGGAGTGGGAGAGGCTCTGGAATGGGAGAAGCAGGAACCCATAGACTACTGTGGTCAGCCAATCAGGAAGTCGGTCTAGCAGCTGGCTGTCTCACAGGATGGGTTATTTACCTCTGTGTAGCACACTGCAACTCACCAGCAGGAACAATTCACCTAGACCTTTCCCAGTCAAGAGTCTGGACCTGATGGGAAGTAGGTGGGGACATAGGAGAAGCTGGGCAAGGTTGTTCCTGTGAGAGAGGGGCACTGATGGGGCAGTGGTCACAGGAAGTCAGTGGTCAGACCTCTGAGTGTGAGCCCTTCCCTTCTCCTACTTTCCCTTTGCCCTCCTCCAGAGGTGCTGTGTGGCTTCTGCAGCCCTTGAGATACTAGGAGCTATCACTGAGTGAAGGTTATAATGGAGAAATTCAGGGCTGGTCTGCAGAGAAGCAGGCTCAGGATCCCACAGATGGACAATGCCCCCACCTCCCATGGGGGCACTTTAGCAGAGACAGGGAGCTATGACCGTGGTCATTTTGAAATTCCCCATTGAATTCATTGCTCATAGATTACCGAGTCCACTTTCAAGTTCCACCATCCCTCAGAGTCATAGCTTTAGAGTCTGTATGGACCTCTTCCTGTTTAGGAATGGCTATCCATTTAAACATAGTTGTCACTGTGGCTTTTCTTTTGGACCCATTTCCCTATTCACGCACCTCCAGTCTTGGCTACCCAGGTGTCTGAAATCAAGGGAAGTCATTTGTCCACCTGAAAAGCATGTAGGGGGGACTTGATGGTTGCAGCACTGTGAGGAGACAGGGCTCTTGGGGACTGTGGTAAGCTGGGAGTGAGGCCAGTAACTGGGAGTTTGTGAAATGTGTAGAATCCTTCTAGGATGCAGTGAGACAGCAGGGGCCAGGAGCTGTGGCCCAGCCTGACTTCGCAGAGGACGTGGTACCAGGCTCAACCTCAGATGGTCTTTACTGCCTGTGAGAACCAGCATTGATTCTTCCATCTGGTGAATAATACCATTGAGAACCTACAACTTGTGACCACAGGCATTCCTTCTTGGTGCCATTCCTGGAGGGCTCATTTCCTCTGGCATGACATGGCTAATGAGTCTCCAGCCACAAGGTCTGATGTGCACTCAAGGTCTCCAGTCTAAGGAACTCAGGCCCAAGACACGGACCCAGACCCTTCTACCCAGATCTGGGCAGATGCTCTTGATAGACTCACACACACAGTTTGGAGAAGAGACAAAGAGACAGGTTGCCTTTAGCATAGGTTTATTGCAAAGCCTCTAGCCAAAGCTTAATGATTTACTTTTGTTTATAGGATAGGGAATGTTAGTGTAATCTGGTAGGACATGATATCAAGTAACTAATATAGTGCTTCTGCGCTGGATTCATTGTGTGTGTGTGTGTGTGTGTGTGTGTGTATGTGTGTGCGCACGCGCACGCTTGCACACGCGCGCGCTGCTAGTAGGGCTTGAACTCAGGGCCTGAGAACTATCTCTTAGCTTTTTCACTCAAGGCTGGTGTTGCACTCCAGTGGAGCTACAGCTCCATTGCCAGCCTTTTGCTGCTTAACAGGAGATTAGAATCTCATGGACTTTCCTACCCAGGCTGGCTTCAAACTGCAATTCTCAGATCTCAGTCTCTTGAGAGTTAGGTACAGGCCACCAGCTCAAGACTCAACCCATGCATTTTGGTGGAGGTTGATCAGACAGTAACTAATAGTGAGATATGGATATTATGCAAACTGGGTCACAGCTAAAGAAGGGAGGGAATGACGCAGGGGTGTTAGTCAAGGTCCTGGTCTGGTATCAGCTAAATTGGTAAAATCTGCACCAAGGGAGAAAGTGAGGCTGGAGTGTGTGTAAACTAGGCACTGGTCTGGAACTTTAGAATAAGAACTTTTGGCTACACAGACTCAACAGCGCTCTCTGACCTTCATTTTTTAACCTAAGTAGCTCCTGGGCTGGGTTGCTGAGAGTCTAGGTCCTTGACATTCAGGTTCCAGGAACAAGCTCCTTTATTTTAACTGAAACTCACAATGCTTCTTCTTAATACCCTGGCGTGGTGTACCACTGAAAGGCAGAAGACTCCCATGTGGCCTGTCACTTCCTGCACCATCATTCAGAGACCCTGGCATATACAATAACCATGCTAATAGTAAAACATGGAATAAAAGGGTTTTTTACAAGCATTCTGTTGTTTGAGGACATTGATGAAAACTTACATAGATCTAATGATCTGGACAAAGACAAGGAGACAGAGACAGGATAGAGAGAAAATGAGAGAGAATGAGAGAGATAAAAAACGAAAGAGAGGGGCTGGGAAGGTGGCTTAGTGGTAGAGTGCTTGCCTTGCATGCACGAGGCTCTGGGTTTAATTCTTTAGCACCACATAAGCAGAAAAAGCCGGAAGTGGCGCTTTGGCTCAAGTGGTAGAGTGCTGAAGAGCTCAGCTGAAGAGCTGAGGGACAGCAGCCAGGCCCAGAGTTCAGGCCCCATGATGACAAAAAAGAAAAAAAAAAGAAAAGAAAGAAAGAAAGAGAAGCAGACACATATAGAGAGGCAAACACAGACATAGACATAGACACAGAGAGACAACCAACATCAGAGACAAGTCACAAGCCAGTGGCTCACACCTATAATCCTAGCTTCTCAGGAGGCCTAGAACTGAGGATCTTGGCTCAAAGTCACCCCAGGCAGGAAGGTCAGTGATACATTTAGCTCCAATTAAACACTCTCCAAAACCCAGAATAGAATCCAATTCAAATGAAAGCATGGATCTACATAAAGTTAGGTTAGAAAGTGTCCTAAACAACTTGATTAAAAATAACAAAGAGGACTAGAATGTAGCTCAGTTGCAAAACACTTACTGAGCAAGTACAACATCTTCATTACCAATAAAATAAAATAGAATAAAGAGAGAAGAGGGAAAAAAATAGTGACGAATGTGTCACACTCAGATGTGAGGCCCCGTTGAGTTCTTGGATCTTCTGGGGCAGGGTCTTGGTCCAGAACTTCAGCCTGGAGGCCTTCAGGGACTGGCCCACTGCAGGATGGATGTCCAGCTGTAGGTACTGCTCATTCTGGTCAAACATGGGCCAATGGAGCAGGTCCTCGCTGTTGGGGTTCCTGTGGACACACCCCAGGAGGTCGGGGTGGAAGGAAGTGAGAGTCATTCTGAGTCCCTGGGAGCCTGGACCCAATCACCTCATTAGGGTCATGCCAAGCAGCCCAAAAGATTAGGAGTGGGGAGAATGAGGGAAACTTTTCTGATATAGGAAAACAAGGCCCTTTCCCTAATGTGTGTTCCATGTGGCTCAGAGCCACCTTACAAAAGAGAGTGCTGATGTTTCCACAAAACTGTGCTCAATCTTTCAAGTTTCTGGGGCAAGAGAGAGTGACTTGCACCTACAATGCCCTGTCTCTGTGTGAGTCCTGGGGTTTGAGGATCATGAATGCTGGTGAGGATGCCACAAGGGAATCACTAGGTGGACCCCATTCTGAGGAGGCAGGGTTAGGTGAATTATCTCACCCATTCCGGGCAAAGTTGGCCCAGTACTTCATCATCCTCCTGCTCAGGAGCTCCTCTGCCTCAGAAAAGCCAGCTGCACAGAGAACAAGGGTCCACACTTTAGACAATATTTCAGGGTGCCTCCTTCTGCTGTACACCCTCCATGCAACTGTAGTCTGATCCTCCATAGCAGGCCTAATCCTTTCTCTCCGCCCCACCCAGAATCAGGCACTTCCATCGTACAACCTTCCATTACTCATCCCAGTCTCTAGCTGAATACACCTATGCATATTCCTGGAGCAGAGGATTTTTCTACTCTCAGTCCCTGGAAAGCATTTAGGGACATTCATAACTTCCAACCATCCACTCTGTACCTATGTCTGACACCTTATTGCAGGTGGGGATAGGGTTGGAACTGCTTGGGAAAAGGCTTCCCTTCTAAACATCTGTAGCTGTTTGAATGGTAAGATCTTGCACACTTGATCTTGTCCTCTCTCTGAGCTTCAGTTTCCTTATGTAGACTTCAAGGAGAATCACCCTAGAGGGATCCTAATGTGGCCCATTCTAGGTTACAGAAATGAAGAAGACTCACGGCTGCTGCCACAAAAGGAAGACCCGAAGACAAAGTCAACCTCATCGCCATGGTCGGCTCTCACATGTGGAGGCCTGAGGCTCTGTATCAGGCCATGAGGATGTTGGAACTCATAGAAGTAGACGAGGGGATGGGAACCTGGAGGTGGAGACAGATTATGATGTGGAGGCCTCTGAGTTAGAGTTGTCTTTCTTCATCTTTGGTGAGAAGATAGCTAGGTTGAAGCTGGCTGGAACCTGGAGTGTGAAGTGAGAAGCCTCAGGCAGGAGGAGGCCTTGCAAAGTCCAAAGGTGCTCATCACAGTCAATGCTCCATTCTCTGACTTCTAGGATGGGGTTTCATGTCAAGAATTGTATGTTACTGCCATTTTCCTGGTGACCCCAATGGGAAAAGTTTTGGTTAAATCATAGCATGTATTTCCTATGGTGTGGTCTTCTACCAGTCACTGAGTTTCCACTTCCTTAAAGTGCCAGTGATGCCTGGCTCTTACAGTAGCCAGGAGAATGTACTGACCTATGGGCCATCAAGTGCCTGGCACTTGAAAAAGACAAGGGTGGAGACTTGGACATCACAGAGCTGCCCTGGGATGCACAGCGCTAAGCTGTCCTATGAGCAGTCAGGCCTCAGCTACTCACACTGAAAATGTGCTACTTGCAGTGCAGGTATCACGAACATGAAGTCCCCCATCATGTCTTGGAACTGGGTTTGGAGGGTCTGGGTGTCCTCAGTGTCCCCCATGTACTCTTCCATCAGCAGGTGAGCACACTCAGCAGGCAAGTTCTATGCCAAGAGGATCAGAGAGAGACAGGCTAGGCAGGCAGTGCAGTGGCAGGGAGGAGGCAGCCTGTGGGTGGGGAGATGGCACCTGGAGTGGGACATAGTATAAGGGAGAAAAGGACAAGCTTTGGTGTAATCCCACCACAAACACACACATATCCTGTCCTATATTGTGGAGGCTACTGTGTGAACACATACCTTGTGTTCCCCATCCATTGGGACAGTGTCCAGATTCTTACCATGAGTCTTACTGTATTTTTCATAATAGCTGGTAAGGTCTGTCTATTTATTCCCTTTATGGTGTCAGCAAATCCTGAGACCTGAGTGGTGGGGAGACAGCTTAAGTTTGGAATTACATGGTCACGATGGTTTCATGCCCTGTACCATCATGCACCCCCTGCCACTCACACACATAACAGATGAGCTCTCCAGACTACTAATGAATTATAACTAAGTCTTACCATGGGGAGGAGCCAACCAAACTCATCATTGTTGACACCAATGATGCTGGGAACTGGGTAGAAGTCAGCAGAGGCCAGTAGCTCCTTGGGTTGCCTGGGTAGGAAGACCCCATCCACCACACCAGCTGTGTTTGGGGAGGACTGAGAAGGTATCAATCAGGAGTTGAGGTCACCTACCACATATTTTCCAGTATCCTCATGTTACTTTCATGCCATCTCAATTCTTCCAAGTATTCTCTCCCACATACAACCCAAGAGATACAACACTTGGGTCAGCCTCCCTTACTCTTCATTTTGTTTCCAGGGCTACGTGAGCAGAGTCATTGGTTCAGAGTATTATGGTGGAGTGATTCACACCCTATGTCTTTTCCCCTGCCGGACCCCACCCCCATCATGCAGCCTGACCTTGGTAATAGCCAGCATTTCCTCTTCATTCTTGCCCCTTAGGCAGCACACCAGGGCCTCTGAGTCCACCTGCTCACAGGCAGACAGGTTGGCCACCATCTGGAAAGCAACCAGTCAGGGCTGCTCCATCATTCCAGGCAGGAGGATAGGTTTTCCCAGACCCAGATGGGTGCAGTGCTTCTAAATCTCCCAGGGTATGGAGTGTGGGGTTGCAGGAATGAAATTGTTCCCACTTCTCTGATGCTCAGAGGCCTCAGCCAGAGGGGCCATTCTCCCCTGCTTCCTTGCATAATTCTGTCAGGGATGATGGAATTTGGCCACAGAACCTACACAGCTTCTGTGAAGCAGAGAGGTGTGGATTCTGACCCCTAACACTTCAGTGATTCCAAAGGACACATTCCAAAGGAACCTCCTTGTTCCTTGTTGTTCCCAGAAAAAAAGAACCAGAGGCTGTGAGGATGAAGGGTGAAACTGGATCTGGGCTGGATGGCTGAGGGTACTCACCTTGACAATCTCCTCAAAGGAGCTGGTGATTAAGCCAGGTGCCAGGGCCACTCCACTCTGCATGATGGCCCCATGGAAGAGTCCTCTGGACATGGGGGACACGACATGTAAAGATATGCTCATGCCACCTGCAGACTCGCCAAAAATGGTGACACGGTCGGGGTTGCCTCCAAAGTGGGCGATATTCTTTTGGACCCAGCGTAGGGCGGCCACTTGATCCAGGAAGCCCCAGTTGCCAGTGGCATGCTGGTCTCCAGTGCTGAGAAGTGACAGAGACAAGGGTCACAGGACTGTCCTGGCTCTGCCTGGCTCTTATTGCCCAACTCAATCCCAGGCTCACCTGAAGAAGCCTGGGACTCCCAGGCGGTACTGGATGGTGACCACCACCACATTCTCAGTGGCTGCCAGCCTGGATCCATCAAACAAGGAAGCTGCATTTGTAACCAGTCCACCACCATGGATCCACACCATTACCTGGCAAAGTCAAGACAGCTGTCATAGATTCTCATCCATCCCCAGTCCTACCTCTGCTGTCTGTTACACTGTCCATGGCTTTGGCTGTGGGCACTTGCCAACATAGAAAGGACTCTGTCAGGGACTTTCTGGGTGAGGGTTTCAAGTTCAATCACTATCCTTGAGGTCAACTCCAGGAATCCAAGTGTGAATTAATATCTCCAAGACTGGAGCATTGGTGTCCTTACTTTCTTACCCATCTAAAGTGGAAAGAAAAGGGGCATTTCCCTGATAGTCTCACTTTAATATGAGTCAAAAGGATCACACACTAGCATTGACACAATAGATATTCCTCAAGTTGGGTGATCTCAAAGTTCAGCACATGGGTTCCTCAGGGAATCTTCTGGGCTCAGGTTGATAGAGTGAGTTCTTGTTTGGTTAAAGAGCCAAGGCATCTAACATTTAGGAGCACCTAGGACTCTGCATCCCTATACCAGTTGTGTTACCCTGCCTGGATGACTAGTTTTTTGTTTTTGCTTTTTTTTTTTTTTTTTTTTTGGGTCTGGTCGTGGGGCCTGAACTCTGGGCCTAGGTGCTATCCCTCAGCACTTCAGCTCAGGGCTAGAGCTCTACCACTTGAGCCACAGCGCCACTTCCAGCTTTTTTCTTTTTGCTTATGTGGTGCTCATGCATGCAAGGCAAGCTCTCTACCACTGAGCCACCTTCCCAGCCCTGGGTGACTAGTTTTTGGAAACTGGCAATGAAACGTCTCATTAGGTTCCACACCGCCTCAGATCCTAGGCTCTTCTTCCCACTACTAATAGTCTTGCAGAAGAAATGTCCTCCCACCAAGGCTAGCCAAATTCTGATACTCACAGGTAGGGCAGAGCTCTCATTGGCACTGGCAGGTGAATAGATATTGAGGTAAAGGCAGTCTTCAGATGTGGAGAAGGGAGGTATATTGAGGTTCAAGATAATCGTAATCAGTGTATTAATTGAACTAGCATCTTGCAGACACCTAGTTATAATAATAGACAATTATTCTATTCCAGCATTTGTATCATAGTCACCAATCTGACCTGGAGGCTAGATTTGTTCCCAGCCACTATGAACCTGTGCTGCACTGGTGCCTGTTATGAAGAATCTTCTCTCATATCTCTTCCAATCAAAGTTCAAGCCTCAGGCTTGGGATGGGAGAGACTCCCCATCTCAAGCTAGGATGAAGCTCTCACCTCCAGGGAACCTTCACATTGTTCGGGGTCATTGGATTTCTCTCCCTTAAGGCTTGGAAAACTTGACTCATAGAGTCTCCTAGAAGCATTGTCTGCAAGGGTTGACATTTACTCCTTCTCTATGTGCCAATTGAAGCCTAGCCAGGGTTACTACCACCACATCAGGGTAGAATGAATGAATGAAGGTCAGTTACCCATAGGGTAGTGAGACATTGCTGAAATTCAAATCTGGACCATATTCCTTCCACTATGTCTCCAGTTGGAAGCACATAGATGTTTCCTCAGCCAGTGGCACCTGGCCCTTTGAGTTGGCACAGTGACTGTGAAGCTTGTTTTCTCCTCACTCTGTCCTCCTTTGTGGTCTGTAGCATCTGCTGCTGGACCATGAGTTTGTCAGGTCCATACAGCCAAGGCAAATCTTTCCCAGGGATGCCTTCTCTTGTGGCAAAGAACAATCGGCATGATCCAAGTCCTGACTTAAGTATATTTCTGTGTTATGGCACTGATCATATGCAAAGCCAGAAAAATGAGCATGGCAAAACTGAATCACAGCCACATTCATTGGAAAAATCTACATGGGAAATTCTACAATGCAGAAGGAAATGGAGCGTGGGGTTTACATGGGAGAAAAACTCAGCCTGGGACCAGGTGCCCATCCCACCACAGAAATTCTCACCCTGGAAGAACTTACATGGCTGGGTAGGAGGTGGTATTCTTCACACCACTCCATGGTTCAGGGGGCTCTGGAGGGGCAAACCGCAGTGGTCCTATAGGTGGCTTGGCAAAGGGAATGCCCAAGAAGGTGTGGACTGCTACATTGGTGTCATTCACATGGACAAGGCTGCCTTGTACCTGCCCGGTGTGTGTGGTTCTGATGGGGCTGGCTGGGTCCTGGCCTGTGAGTAGAGAGATGCACATGAGAGTTGGGTGTGTCCCCTCAGCTGCCACTCACATTGTGGCTCCTGTTGGCTCTATGCCACCTACAGCTCAGCCTGACAAGGTCCTCCGATGTGCAGGTTCAATGGCTTCACATACCTTCTTCCTGCATGATTGTGCTCCAGCACTAGTGTATGCACTGGACCTGACTCAGAACTTCTAACCAGGCAGGATCCCTGAGGTTCTTTGGGACTTGATAGCATCATTAAGCCCTAGGAGCTTCCAGGTTGGGTCTTAGGTGATGGAAGAATAAGCATTCTTTCCAGCAAGCTAAGAGGTTTTACTAGGAACTACCAGGAACGAACAATTCTCAAGGAACTCACACTGGAGGTGTAAAAAATGCCAAGAAGAGGGGCTGCAAGGAGAGAGTCACACAGCTTTGATTACTTGGTGAAAACCCTGGCTGGCTTGTGTTGGGGATTGAAGAGGGAAGAGGCCATTGGAAATCATCTTATGGCCCACATCAACTTAGTTTGAACTATCATGATAGTTGTTTAAGTGGATAATGCATATATTGGCTATATTTCCCCTAACTTAAGACAGAGACCCCTTTTGTGTATGCTCACACTTGGTAGTCCCAAAATTCCTGCTCCTTCAGATGTTTTAAGACATCCAGTCAGAGCCACAATCTCTGGCTATTTTGTCATCAGTACCAATTCCACCTCTACTGGAGCCATCTTTCCCTTATTATCACCTTCAGGTTGAAATTCAGGCAGAAATTCATGAATCTGATCTGTTTGTATACAAAAAGTAACTCTATGCCCCTAAGCACTGTCTGGGAGCTATTTGTGAATCAGTTAAGTTTCATGTTGCCTGGTATGGCTGAAACCAAGATAGCAACCACAAATAGACACCACAGACAGCAATTTCCCAATATCTTTCCAAGTCCAAAGACATACCACTGACTTCCATGTTGTCTCTGTAAGAGTTTTGTTTTGGTCGGTCGTGGGGTTGAACTCTGAGCCTGGGTGCTGTCCCTCAGCTCTTCAGCTCAAGGTGAGTGCTCTACTGCTTGAGCCACAGAGCCACTTCCAACTTTCTAGTGGTTTATTGGAGATAAGAGTCTCATGGACTTTTCTGCCTGGGCTGGCATTGAACCATGATCCTCAGATCTCAGCCTCCTGAGTAGCTAGGATTACAGGCGTGAGCTACCAGTGCCCAGCTCGCAAGAAGTTTTGACTAGATGGGAACAGTGATCCTGGATCTCACTGTGGCCCCACCAGCCGCTCATGCTTCATAGTTGTTACAGGAAAGGGTAAACATTGCTCATAGGTTCCTGTTAGAGACCAGCTACCTGCATGTTGCTTCAAGCCCTTCATGAAATGTTATGAGGAACCTGAGCCATGCAGAGGCAAAAAGTGACCCTTGAATTAGGAGATTTAAAACCCTGGGTCTTCTGTATAGCAAGATTTGCACAATTAACTTCTCCTGATATTTGTAGTTGTTATTTTGGACTCACTGTTTCAGAATCACTAGCAAGAGCCTGATCAAGAGCAGGTAAGGGGCTCGGAATGTGGCTTAGTGGTAGTGCTTCCCTAGCATCTGTGAAGCCCTGGCTTGGATTCCTCAGTACCACATAAACAGAAAAAACTGGAATTGGCATTGCTGTGGCCCAAATGGTAGAGTGCTAGCCTTGAACAAAAGACGCTCAGGAACAGTGCCCAGGCCCTGAGTTCAAGCCCCGGGACAGGCAAAAAAAAAAAGAAGGTAAGGGAGGGAATCTGGTAGGAGTAGGCCTTGGGTGAGATGAGGGCAGATTAAATAGGAGAGGGTAGGGAATTAATCAGGGTCCACTCTAGCTTGGTCTGGGGTGAGGGTATAAAAAGTTGCACAATCAATTCTGGGTATAATTCTCTGGTGGCATGAGCTCCTGATAAGGGCCTGAGGACTTTGTGCTAGACACAGGGCATATTCCCTTTGTCCTAGGAGCTAAGCCAAGCCTTTTTCCAGAGTTGATACCTACGTGAAAGAAACCCAGTGGCATCTCAATTCAACTTCATGATGTATTTCTGGGGAGGTAGAGCTCTTCCAGAACCAGAAACATTTGCTGGGGCCTATTGGATCATGCCAAGATACTTTTGTAGGGATAAAGGAGACCCAACTGGGGACAGAGGATAGTGTGAATAACAATTACATGAGCAGATGCAGGAGCAGTTACAGCTACTGTTGCCACAACACACACAAGAGGGAAATGTTCAGAATCCCCAAGTCTGCTTGGCACATGTCAGTGCATCTCAGACTCTTTCATTTGGGGCTCACTCCTCTGTTTCCTCGGGTACCTATGACCCTCTCTGAGCTATATGATCATCATCATGGGCATTTTGTGGTGCCTGAAATAGCACAATTTTCCCATACTATCTGTCATCGCCACATGTTCCTTCCTCTTTCTCATCTCCAAGTTCAAACTCTGCTCTACACAAGGTAGCAGATCTCATCCAGGTCCCTGTCCCCCTTTCCCCATGTCCCCTGCAGGTGTCTTACCCTGGATCAGGAGTGGAAGAATCAGGAGCCCACAGGCCACTGCAGTCTGCAAAGCAGGAAGTTGGTGCAGCATCATGGCTGGCTCGCAAGGATGGTTTCTGTGCCTTTATGCAGCACACTGTGACTCATCAACAGGAACAATTCACCTAGACTTTGCCCAGACAGGGAGTAGGTGGGGACATAGGAGAGGCTGGGCAAGGTTGATCCTGCAGGAGAGGGGCATAGATGGGGTAGTGGGCTCAGGAAGTCAGTGGTTAGCACTCTGGGTGTGAGCTCTTCCTTTCCTATTTTTCCTTTGTCTTCCTCCAGAGGTGCTGTGTGGCTTCTGTAGCCCTGGAGATACTGGGAACTGTCACTGAGGTGAAGGTTGTACTGGAGAAATTCAGGGCTGGTCTTCAGAGAAGCAGGCTCAGGATCCCACAGATGCATAATGCCCCCTACCTCCCATGGGGTAAAGGTGAACATTTGAGCAGAGACAGGGAGCTATTCCAGTGCTCATGTTGAAATTCCCCCTTGATCTCATTGTTCATAGATTACCAATTCCCCTCAAGTTCCTCATCCCTCAGAGTCATGGTCTGAGGGTCTTCATGGATGCCTTCCTAAATGGAATGGCTGGTCCCTTTAAACCTACTTATTTCTGTGACATTTTTTGTTGTTGTTGTTGTTGGTCATGGGGCCTGAACTCTGGGCCTGGGCACTGTCCCTCAGCTCTTCAGCTCAAGGTTAGCACTCTACCACTTGGGCCACAATACCACTTCTGGGCCTCATGCATGCAAGGCAAGTACTCTACCACTGAGTTACCTTCCAGCCCCCATCTGTGGCATTTCTTAAGGACCCATTCCCCTCCAACCTGTGGTCACCCACCCTGGTGTCTGAGATCAAGGGTAGTCATTTACCCACATGAAAATAATTTAAAAGGAACCTACTGGTCGCAGCACTGCAAGGAGACAGGGGTCTCTGGGCCTGTGTTAATCTAGGAGCAGGTCTGTGATCACGAATGTGTGAAACACAAAGATCCTGCCAGGATGGAGTGAGACAGCAGGGCCCAAGAGCTGCTGCCCAGCCTGACTTCCCAGAGGAAACGGTGCCCGTGAAAACCAGCTTTGATTCTTCAATCCAGTGTATAATCCAGTTGAACCTACAGCCAGTGTATAATCCAGTTGAACCTACAGCTTGGCGTGACGGCTCTCCTTCTTAATACACTTCCTGTAGGACTCATTTCTCCTAGCATGACTTAGGTAAAGATTCTCTGAACTCCATTCCAGATACAAGGGTTCATGTATATACTCAAGGTCTCCAATCTAATGAACTCTGGCCCAGGACCTGCTCCCAGACCATTCTACCCAGACTCGAGCAAATATTCTTGTCAGTCATAGTTTGGAGAATAGACAAAGGGACAGATCACCATCAGCACATGTTTATTGCAGAGTCTCTAGCTAAAGCTTAAAGATTCTCTCCTGCTTACATGCTAGGGTTTTGTAGTAGATTCATGAGAATGGTAGTGTAATCTGGTAGGGGCTGATAAGAAGGTAACTAATTTGGTTCTTCTGTCCCTGGATTCTGTGTGTGTGTGTGTGTGTGTGTGTGTGTGTGTGTGTGTGTGTGTGTGTTATGGGGACTTCAACTTAGCTTTTTCACTCAAGGCTGGTGCTGCACTCCACTGGAGCTACGGCTCCATTTCTAGCTTTTGCTGATTATCTGAAGATAAGAATCTAATAGACTTTCCTTCCCAGGGTGGCTTCAAACTGCAATCTTCAGAGCTCAATCTCTTGACAGTTAAGTACAGCCCACCCTAGTGTGGCTCCACTCATGCATTCTGGTGGGAGTTGGTAAGAAAGTAACTAATAGTGAGATATAGATACCATGCAAACTGGATCATAGCTGAAGAAAGGAGGGAATGAAGCAGGGGTGTCGGTGAAATAAGGATAGTGGTTCTAAGTGACATGCCTTGTCCTCACAGCCATCCTGGCACCTTGCTGGGTGGTGGGGACCTTTCACAGATCCAAAACTGCATAGAAATTAGATATGCCATTCTTTGAATTGCAGATATTTAGCCCCAGGAAAGCTTTGCTACAGAGAATGCTTACCCTTGATCATGTCCCTTGGTGGTTTGATTTGCTCACCCTGAAACAGCTCCCCTAGATGGAAAGCTTTGCTTGCCACTGAGTAATTCCCTATATAGTTTGCTTAGTTGGGTTGGGTCGCCAACCCCAAAATGTGGTTTTTGTCTTTAAGAACCTTGTGTAAGCTACATTCTGGGCTTTAGGTCTTTAAGACTGGAGTCCACTTGCAGTTGCCAGCTTTCCAATAGAGACTCCCAATTGGACCTTTGAAGATATGGCTTCTCTGTTTCTTCTGATTAAATTCCTGCATAACATGGTACAAGGTCCTGACCTGGCACCAGCCAAATGGGTTACTGCTAGATAAGGGGAGAAAGTGAGGCTGGAGTGTTAGTAAATCAAGACAGTGGTCTGGAACC